GCGGCGGCGGCGGCGGGGTTGGCCCCGGCAGCCACGGCGGCGAGGACACCGGAGGCTGCGGCCGAGTTGAGGCCCAGGCCGAGGGAGTTGGTGTTGTAGCCGTAGCTGGCCAGCGTGTTGAGCGCCGTGCTTATGGCCAGCAGGTCGGTGCCGGAGAAGGCAGGAAGGGCGGCGGGAAAGGCTCCCACGCCCGCCAGCCCGGCGGGGCCCAGCAGGCCCGAGGCAGCGGCAGCCGAGGCGGCGGCCGCGGCAGGGAGCACGTCGGCAGGGCTGGCGTACGGCGAGCCGGTGGGGTTGGAGTTGGCCACGGGGCCGGCCACGTTGGCGTAGCTGATGTTGAGACAACTGCTGCTTTGAGGGTCTTCCTGAACCTTCTGCACGATGGCGCTCACGGCTTTGTGGACCTGCTCAGGCTCCCCGCTGACCGTCACCACGCGCTCCTGCAGGTTGATGCCCTCTGGCTTCTGGGACAGCTGCACCCAGGCACCCGACTGTTCCATCACTGCTTTGACCGTGGCACCCCCTTTGCCGATGATCAGGCCGGCCGTGCTGTTGGGGACAATCAGCTTGGCCTGCGTGGGGAGGGAGAGGGAAGACTTTAGGGTGATAATCAGACACTGCATGATAACTGGGTCTTTGAACTCGTTCTTCCCAGTGCGGTGAGGGCCAAACCAAGTGAAATCAGAATGGACCCAAATCTGTAAAATGGGGGTGAACCGGAATGATAACCAGAATGGAGAAAATGACGGATGGACGCCCTGCGAGAAACTTAATCTCCTTTTTAGAAAACAAGGGCAATGTGTGTGTGTTGCATAGCAACCAAATCTCTTGACAGGCACGGTCAGAAACAACAGTGCCCGGCTCAAAGATGGCAGCCGACCATGTGGCATGGAATGTGTGTTGCTCTCCATAGTCCTGGCAATAATCCAACCTCCTACATAAGTCTCATGAAAAGGCTCACTATGCCACTTTCTGAGGAGCTCTGGTGGCGCAGTGCCTAAGGCACTTGACTGCTAACCAGAAGGATGGCAGTTCAAACCACCAGCCACTCCTCGGAAGGAAGACTGGGCAATCTACTTCCGTAGTGATACTGCCTCTGAAACCCAAGGAGGGGCGCTATGAGTCAAGTCAAGTCAATGGCAGTGACTTTGGTTTGGGCTTTGCTCCCATCAAGACTGACAGCCTTGGAGACCCTGTGGTGCAGTTCCACTCTGTCCTCTAGGGGCGCTGTGGGTCAGAATCCCCTCCAGGCACTGGGTTTGGTTTGGGCTTTGCTTCTGTGAAGGTAGGAGCTCTGGTGGTGCAGTGCCTAAGGCACTTGACTGCTAACCAGAAGGCTGGCGGTTCAAACCCACCAGCCACTCCTGGGAAGGAAAGTTGCGCAATCTACTTCCATAGAGATACTGCCTCGGAAACCAAAGGAGGGGTCACTATGAATCAGGTCCAACTCAACAGCACATGACAACAACAACATGTCACTTCCAAGTCTCGCATTCCAGGGGTTCAACACACAATGTTTCCTTTTCTGGTTATCATTCTGCTTCACCTGAATTGTGAAAATTCGGGTCTGTTGTTATTTCAACCTTGTGGAGCGTAACTGAACCCATTCAATCTGCTTCAAAGTTCCGACAATAACATTAGTCCACAGCTTGTAGCCCCAAGCCATTCTACACTCCTGCTTTCTCAACTGTCCAACATCAGGTTCAGTCTGTCCCCTGGGTATACACCACTATGGCTCTCTTACGTCCATATATATATTAGAACTAATGGGACAAAGTTATGATAACTTCTCAGCCACAGCCAGACACCCTGAGGGAGTGAGTCACTGGACCCATGGGCCCTGGTTGAGGGGGACATCAAGCTCAATTGGCACAACATACTACATAACAACATTGTTATACATCCTACTTTGGTGAGTAGCAATGGAGATCTTAAAAGCTTGCAAGTGGCCATCTAAGATGCAATAATTGGTCTTTTCTTGTGCGGAGCAAAGGAGAATGAAGAAAAACAGAGACACGTGGAAACAATTAGTCCAAGGGCACCTCAGTCTACATGATCTGAGACCAGAAGAACAAGATGGTGCCTGGCTACCACCGTCAACCACTCAAAAAGGGATCAAAGTGGGAGACCCTGGATAGAGTGGGGGGACAACGTGGAACAAAACTCAGAATCATAAAAAAGGACCAGGTTTACTGGTCTGATAAAGCCCCGTGAAACCCTCGAAACTATGGCCCGTAGTCCCCCTTCAGGCCTGGAACTGAACTTACTCCTGTGGCTTCCAGGCAAACAACAGGCAGGCTTATAGGGTGAACATTTATACCAGGTAGGTGCACTCCTTAGAACAGTCAACTATGGGAGATCAGAAAGGCGGTGTTCGTACAAGGAGACAGCTCAGGGGGCAGGAATGAACAAAAGTAGGATACAGGGAAGAGGTAACCGCAGGGAAGAGAGCTGTTACATTATGGGGATTGCAACAGATGTCGTGAAACAAGATGTATATGAACTGTTGTATGGGAAATGAATTTGCTCAGTAAACTTCACCCACATCACAATAAAACACACACACACACACACACACAATGGTTCTGTTATTAGGTGCCGTTGAGTTGGCCCTCAAGTCATGGCAACCCCGTGCACGATGGAATCAGATCATTGCGATCCACAGGGTTTTTGTTAGTCCTTCCTTCCCAGCCTGGCTTAGTCTGGAAGTTCTACTGAAACCTGCTCAGGACCATAGCAACAGGCAAGCTCCACTGAGACGGCTGGTGGCTGCACAGGCGGGGCATTGGCTGGGAATGGAATGCAGGTGTCCTGCACGGAGCTCTGCTGGTGCAGTGCCTAAGGCACTTGACTGCTAATCAGAAGGCTGGCGGTTCAAACCCACCAGCCTCTCCTTGGAAGGAAGACTGGGCAATCTACTTCCGTAGAGATACTGCCTTGGAAATCCAAGGAGGGGTCACTATGAGTCGGATCCGACTCCACAGCAGCGCTTTTGGTTTTGTTTTGGTTCAGTTTCCACAGTGGGAGCTCTGGTGGTGTAGTGTCTAAAGCATTTGACTGCTAATCAGGAGGCTGGCGGTTCAAACCCACCAGCCACTCCTCGGGAGGA